ATACACACCACTCACACTCACACCCACACTCACCACTCACATTCACTCACATATACACACCACTCACACACCCATCACTTACACTCACATACACACACACCACTCACTGACACTCACACCCACCACTCACATTCATTCACATACACACACACCACTGACACACACTCACACTCACCACTCACATTCACTCACACACACACCACACACTCACCAATCATACACACCACTCACATTTATTCACACACATACACTGTCTCTCTTATTCCCCACTCACATTCATTCACGTACACACACTTACACTCACCACTCACACACTCTCACACCACCCAAATTCTCTCACACACACACTCACACTCACCACTCATGTTCATTCACACACTCTCACACATTTATTCACAATGTCTCTCACACACACACTCACCACATACGACCAACCTGTTTCGTTCACTCTGCGTCCTTGATCCCATCCCAAAACCCTGCCCGCCTCAGCCCTTGCCCACAGTGCTGCCCTCTCCTGACTGAGCTACCAGTTATCTCCTTGCCTAGTCTTAAATCTTCCCTCATTCCTGGCTCCTTATCTCTTATTGTAAACATTTCCCTGAACACTATAAAACAGACCAAACACTTCCTCAGACCGCCTGCCCAGCACCCAGCACCACTTCCCTACCTGAGGCCACCCCGGACATTCTGCAGGGTGCACTGCGCAGCCTGGGAGGGAGAGTGACTTCAGCCCTGGGGGATACATGGGCAGTGTGTCTGCATCTCACCTTACTCCAGATTGAGAAGAGGTTGACCCTCTACATCAAAGACCGGGAGTTGGGTTTCAGTCACCCTGCCAAGCCCCTCATGGAAATTCCTCTTGTTTCACATCCAAGACTTCTCGCTGAGTTGGTCCTGACTTCTTATTCTCACCCCTTGCTTCCTAACCCAGTCACCCTGGCTTCACCTCAACTCCTTTCTGAAGCTACTCTTTTTAAGACACAAAAGTACTGCCCTTTAATTGCCAATCCAGTGGCATCAGTGGCCTCTGTCTGGTCAGCTCCCCCACAGCGGGCCACACTGACAGCTGTCCCTGTACCCGGACCCTCCCTCTCCCTTGGCCCTGTGGCAGTGACAGTGGTCAGATGAAAGCTCTTGTATCTAACCACAAAGAGTTGGAAACCAGTTTTTAAAAGAACTGCTGTGCTTGTGTGCACTAGCCAAATACCTCCTCTCTTACCAAAGTTACCCTAAAGCACAAATTCAAAAACGTAGAATTAATTAATTTTACTTAAATAACCCCCCAAAAGAAAAAAAATACATAATAAAAATAAAAACAGAAAAAAAACACAAAAAGGGAAAAATGCCTGAAAAAGGACAAACACATGAGATATTAGAACACATCAAATGAACTAAAAAGCATGGTTGAATTTATGTGTAAATTGTAGTTTACTTAAAGCAAATGCCATGATTAAGTACAGATAGCTAAAGATGTGTAATAAAGTATGCAAGCTGACACAAAATTGGAATAACTGGTACAAACATATACTTGAATAAGAGGAAGAGTCATAAAACCAATTACGCACCAAGGCAAGAGATTAGGGAGAAGTGATTGTAGAACTTTGGTTCCCAAGCTCGGCTGCACAACAGAATCACGTGAACTATTGACCATTCAGGTTCCCAGGCCCCCTCTGCTGCAGCTGTGAGCCAGTGGGTTTGGGGTGGGGCCCGTGAGGCCACTGTCTTAGGCCATGCTCAGGATCCCTGCTGGGTTCTAACGTGTCTGATGCATCTCAGTTTGCTCCAGGAAAAATGTGGGAGGATCCAGAGGAAGGCTGTGGAACC